CAAAACCAGGAGATTTTGAGTACAACTTGTCTTCTGCTATTCACTGCTATGGTGCGGCCAAGGGAGCACTGTTCACATTTCCTGTGCATTCAGTAGAAACTTCCACGGTTCTTAAGAAAAGAGGCTGGGCATTTAATGAACTGGGCCGCTGTAGACTTGAGAGTAGAAATCTGGGTAGCGCTGAGATTGCTTTTGCAGATGCTATTAAAGCATTTCAAGAGGTCTTTGACCACACAAATGTTATACTGATCAACTGTAACTTAGGTCATGGTAGGAGAGCTTTAGCAGAGGAATGTGTATCCAGGATTGATGAATTTCAGAAGCATGATCTTCCTGAAGGCACATACATGCAATCCTTCAAATCAGCCAAGTCAGAATATTTTCAAGCAATAAACTACTATTCCGCAGCTAAGAGGCAACTGAAGTATGTCAATACTGAGGTCGATAAAGTACTATACCATGAGGTTTACACACAGTATGCTCATACCTACCTGAGGCTTGGAATGCTTTTGGCAAGGGAAAGCTTCTTAACTGACAGTTATGAAGGTGGACTTGTCGATGAGTCATCTAACAGAACAGTTCTAGAGATTTCAGCTAGTGATGCTTTTCGGGAGGCTTTGTCTACATATGAATCCCTTGGTGAACATCGCAAACAGGAAGCTGCTTTTGGTCATTTTCAGCTCGCTTGTTATCAGAGGGATCTGTGCTTAAGGTTTCTGGATTTAGTCGACAAGGAGGTTAAACAGAAAAATGAGGATAAATATCGTCAGAAAAGTAAGTGGTATGGTTCACTAGCTGAGAAGAACTGGCAGAAGGCTTTAGAATTTTATGGGCCGAAGACACATCCTACTATGTTTCTTAACATCCTTATGGCACAGTCTGCCCTTTCTATTAATATTTCTAATTCCTTCCACTCAACCGTGGTATGTTTTTTTTTCTCAGGCCTTGCTACCTATTCCATCTCCAGCTTTTCAGTGTGCTAGAATTAAGTCCAGTCACTATTCTTATGGAATTTTGAAAAAGGGCTTACCTACTCAAAGGCCTCGTTGGTCAGTATGTTGGTTGACCCTATGTTTTATTGTGCAGAGGGGGTGCTGTATACTTAGAAGAATAATACCTGACTTAAGTTTTATATTTGATGCAATAGTAATTTTGTTAAGTGACTTCATTTTCTTTCTTCCAAGGAGTAACATTTTCATAGAGGGCAAACTCTGGAAGGTCTTTTTTTTTCATTTTTTTGGCAGCATACAAACCTCAATGGTCAGTGCAAATAGGCTAGCATCTAGCAACATAGGTTCATCGTAAATTCATAATTACCTATAGGTACTAGGTAGAAATCAGCCGGGTTTTCTCTTCTAAAAGTTCACCTTTTATTTGCACCTTGGTCATGTCCGTCTGATGTGTAACATGGAAGCAAATGCTCCTTTTGAATTTGTTCAATAAATAATTTGTCTCATCCTTGCAGATGCTTGACACCGCTCTGGCTCACTTGTTGGAAGGCCGGCATGTGGTCAAAGCAAATGAAGACTATTCCAACGATATGGATCTGGACATAAAGCCGAAGTTCTGGAGCCAGCTGCAGAGCCTGCTGAAGAGGATGCTGGCGGGATCCCTTCCTAGCAGCACTGGCAGAGTAGCTTCTTCTGTCAACCAGACCAGCACTAGCAGCAGAGCAGAAGCTGCTAAGCTGAAAGAGATGTATCGTTTGTCGCTCAAATCTTCTACTCTGGGCCAGCTGCATGCGTTGCACAAGCTTTGGGTCTCTTAACACCTTCACTTTGCAAATGGTTGCTGCTCATGTTTTATGTCGTCGGCATCAATCTCTTGAATTACACAGTTTTTATTTGGTGTTCATGGCACGTTTTTGTTTGTTTTGATTTCTAGCCAAGTTTTAAAGCCGAATACCTGCAGTGTACATTTAAGTGTAACCATGGAATGTCAGGGGACGGGAAACACTAGCTACTGCAACTGTGTAGCAGACTTATAAACAGCAAATAATGGCATCCGATGTAAAGCACCAGTGTATTATATGTATTGTATTGTAGAGAGCCAATGTGAGAATATCTGAATGTGTGCCCGCTTCACCGCGAATCGATAGGAATTTGGGATTTTTATTCTTTTTATTATTATTACTAGGTTCTCACTGAACATGGCTGTCAGTTATGACTTCCAGGCCCAGTTGTAAAAGCAACATCCCATGGTCATCCCTTGTAAAACTTCAATTTTTTTACTAGTAGTAATAATTAGTCGTGTTTAGAAATAATGGTGTCCGCAAGAGTTTGCCAAGATTTATGCAGCTTTTTCTTATTTATTTTTGCAATCTTTTCCTTCTACGTACAGTAGGAGATAGTGTCACGGTGCTGACGGTGTGTCGGTGTATATTTGCAAGTCATAGTGGCGTATGTGCCAAACCTTCCTCACAGAAAGGCCACGGAGAAACATGGCCCGTGGCCAAATACAAAGCACCGCGACGAAGCCCAAACAACAGTCCGTCGGTGGAGCAACGCGCTGGGTAACAGGCAAACGTTTTTTCCCACCTCAGCTAGTTACGGAGTCAAAGCGTAGCTTATAAGCCGAGGCGCAGACTCGTTGGTCCTGTTCACTTAAACTTATCAGCTAATTTATAATATTTTTCTCTTACGTTAAAACAACTTCGATCGACTTTAATATCAGCCAAACAGATTTTGGAGACATCTCATAAAATTAGAACGACACGCATAAATCAAGAAATGGTCTAAATCTTTTTGCAATTTGCGCACCGGTCCCTGGTGTTTGGGTTTTTCTCGCAGATATGCCCTCAGAGTTCTCACTTTGGTCCTTTCGCACTAGTTTTTCTTCACGATTTAGCCCTCGCGTCCTTTTGCACACTGGTCCCTGCTGTTCGGGTTACTGCCTTCTGCAGGTTTTACCCCTAGCATTTTTCCCTTGAACCCTCCAGTTTTCTCTTCTGTACAATTATGCCCTACAAGCCTGGAAAAGTCTTTCTTTAGCCCTAGACGTTCAAGTTTGTTCCCAATGGCCAATGCCACGGATGCTTTTATCAGAACTGCTGTGCTAGACGACGAATTTCTGTTACAACCCTTGGGGCCCTGGTGTATTTTCCAACGACACATCTAACCTCTTTCTCTAAAACTACTAAATATATTCGTATGTTGCAACAAGATGGAGAATGTAAAGCTTATTATGTGGTCACTCTACGGGTCTGTTCGCTTGGAGGAATTTGGATGGTTTGGAAGAATGCTGGAGGAATTTATGAGAGAAAAACACTGTTTCGGATGAAAAAAGAAGTGGATCAAGCCGAGTTTAAGGGCACGCGATCGGGGCCAAAATCTTGTGGCTCCGAGACTTAACAATCTTGCCTTGCGTTCCTGGCTTTCTGCTCGTCTCCTGTGCACTAACTCGTATGGCATGAGACTGTACGTGGGAGGCTTGAAATTTGTCCAACAATGCCTAGTCACACTTCTCTATAACTTCTATAAACACGAAAAATAGCGAAGGGGTACGAAAGTGCTACGTACTTTAAAATTAGGATAATTAGTATACCCGTGCGTTGCTAAAGATTTTTTAATACTTCTATAAACTAAAAAAATGATAAAAAGAGTAGTGTGTTTACCTATCACCGTGACCCATCTATAGTAATAATATTGACTTGAGATACAGATCTTCAAGAGGCCTTCAAACTTAATGGTCACAACTCAATCAAGTACATGATGAATTCGAGTTCTTTAGATAGAGCAATTTAAAAGTTTAAAGAAGAGCTTTGCAACCATCTTTTCACGGAGGCCATTCACAAATCACAGCTGCTCGTTTGCTGATGATGAAACGTAGCACCTTTTCAAGTTTCTACTACGATATGTTATTTTTCTATTTAGATTAGCATTCCTATTCAAGTTACTAAAAAAAGCCTTGCATATTTTACATCAAACAGGAGGGGTGTGGATGTGAGAAAGGGTTGTTTCCACAATCACAAAATAATTCAAAATTAGTTAGTGAAGAGCTGGACGGAAAAACAGATGTAAATTGCGAATGGGCCTGCGGTACACTAGCAGGTCTCTCCAGTGGGATGTTATCCATCAGGGTTCAAACCCTAGTGATAGCACCTTTTTTGGAATTTTTTCAAAAGTTTTAGGGTACATGTATGCGTGCGCGTTCGGTGGTACTGCGCGTTTCCCGCACTATGGAGGCGGTGACGTCTCCCAATCTCTTTTTTGTGTGTGTGCATGTGGTGTGAGTGTGGAGTGTGTGGTTGTGTGCGTCCAAGTTGTACCTGATAAAAAAACAGACATAAATTTTGGCTCTTTAAATGTAATATATAGATAAATATTTTATCGAGTTTGCATTTCAACTTATGGAAGTCTATAGTTTGACTTATTTTCCAAAAAAAAATGTTAATATTGCATTTATGTATTAGAGTTGAGGAACGTCAGCACTCGGCACAACAAGGCACAAAACACAATCTATGATAATTATATTATTGTTATTATTATGAACTGAACACAAAATAAAAACATCTCGTCATTCCGGTGTAAGAAGTGCATGCCAATCGAGGTTTTAAATCTCCGGTTAAAGATATTTAGCGGATGACCTCTAAAACAGCTATAGCGGAAGTTAAATGAGGCTATATCCGCTAAATTATACATAAATACTAGCTTGATCGGTCTCAAACAGCTATAACAGCTATAGCTAGAGATTTTAAAACCTTACTGTCAATGCATCATTTAGCCCTCGCAGAAAAAAGAAAAAGAAAAAAAAAGGACCGGCGTTCTTCGCGATGTCTTTTGGACTAGCTTGACTACTTGAGCACGTGTCAGCCAACCTCGTGGTCGTCTCACACCTGCCCGCCGATGCAGCCACCTCATGCACACGCGGCCTCCGCTCACCGCGCCGCCTCTCTCGACACAGCCTTCTCACTTTCTCAGTAGCCGCCGCCCACCGCCCACCACCCTGTCGGCCTTCCCAACCCTGCTGCAGTAACACATCCAAAGCCAACTCCCACGGGTATGGATCCTGACCAGGTCGCCGACGCCGGGGTCCAGCACCAGCACGACGATCTCGGCGGCAGTGCCACATCCGCAGACGGGTGCTGTGACGGTGGCAGTGGCGATAGCTGGGCGCGCGCGCTGCTCCGCCGGGGATGGGACCTGTCCCGGAAGGCCGCCATCGCCGGCGTCGCGGCCACGGCCGCGCCCGTCGTGGCCCCGCCACTGCTTGTCCTGTCCCTCGCCGGCGTCGCGCTGTCCCTACCCTTCGCCGCCTACCTGGCCTGCCTCGCCGCCACCGACCGTCTTATGGGCGCACTCCTGCCGGCTCCTCGTACCCAGCCGTACCACGCCTGCGACCTCGAAGACGATGGATTCTTAGATGCATCTGACGCGCCCGGCGGCGAGGCCCCTGTGTTCGACCACTGGCACGACGCAAAGAACGATGCCATTCCGGAGGAAAACGAGAGCTTTGTATCGTTGCCGCTGTCACGGGAACCTCGGTTCTGCGAAGAGTCGGTGCCGTCGTCGACCGACGTGGAGGATAAGATGGCTGGAGGTGAATTTCTTTCCCGAGAATTGGGTCACGAGTCACTAGTGTTGGACAATAGGGAACAGGAAGAGCAGGGCACAACCATGGAGATTGGGTATATTACCATGGAGGCACTGCCACGGGGCTCCGATGTTTTCGGATCAGCAGTGCCAGTGTTGCGTGATCAAGACAATATGGTTCAGAGGGTGGTAGAAGCTCCTCTTACAGCCAAGGAATCAGTCCAAGAGTTATCTGTATCAGACAATGAGGATAGAACAGAGGATAACAAGTGCAAAGATATGGAGCAAATGGAGTCCTTCAAGGAGATTCTGTCACTGGGCGTCGACATCAGTGAATTAAGTGACTTCTCGGTGCCAGTATTGGGCAATGAGGGTATTGTGGTTGTGAGAGGAGATGGTGAAAAAAATTCTGTCCGAGAATCAGGCCAAGATTCCCATTTAACAGATATTGAGGATAAAATAGAGAGCCAGAAAACCAAAGAAGAGATACCACTGCAGGAGGCTAATGTTTCTGAATCATTGGTGCTGGATGATACAATGCTGGAGAGGAAGATAGAAGGTGATGTAACAGTGGAGATGGTGGTGAAAGAAGTGTTCATTAACACCGATCCTTTTACAGGGGAGGTGGCTGGTGAGCAAGTGGGTTCCATTGCTATTGCCCTACCTGAAAGCGAGTCGCTGCAAGCCAGCAACCTTGTGGCTCAGGAGTTACAGGCGATGGCGGAAGTTGCTAATGTTGACGATGTTATCAATGTTGCTTTAACAGAAGACGTTGTATTGGATATTGGTGATACTGGTACAGAGGGCATGGAGCACTATGGTGAGGGAGGTGTTTCTACTGTCATCTCAGTGGTGACCGTGGATGATGTTGCAGAGCTAGTTTCCAGTAGGAGCCCAGCAGTCTCAGGCATCAGTGATGACATGAAGAGTGTCAAGAGTAGGCCAGATGCTGACCGCTCCAATCAAACAACTGGCTACACACTAAGGAACAATGAATTTCGGGAGAAAGAGGCAACAGAGGACAAGGTGAGTCAGTTCCTGGTTTACTAAATCATCTATATCATCTGTAGGTTTCTTTTTATCAAAAATGCTTATAGATGTTGATGGATACAAAATATTAGGTGCATTCTACACATGATAAATTTTCTTATTTGTCATTGTTTATTGGTATAGGCCAATGTGACCCAGTAAATTTGGTTAGAATTGACCTCTTACCCTAAATAAGATGTGCTTACCAAGTTGTAAAATTGTTTAAATAATTGACATCCATAAAAATGCCCATCTGAATTTTGTTTGCGAAATTTCGTAGCATGTGAAAATAGAGAACAAAACCTTGGACGACAAGGTGCCTACAAGGAGCACGTCACCACAGATCATTGATGCTTCTAAATCACCAGTGCCAGACGATCAGAGCAAGATAGAAGACGAAGCAACTGTGGAGATGGTGCTGGAAGGAGTGACGAGTGACACTGACGATCTTGTTACACGGGAGGTGGTTGCTGTGCAATTGAAGATTATTGCTAGTGAAAGTGAGTCGTCGTCAGTGAGTGACCATGTGGCTCAGGAGTTACAGGGCGTGAGCGAAGCTGCAGTTGTTGATGAGATCCGAGGAAGTACTGTGATTGAAAACATAAAAAATGAATTGAGTGACAGAACAACAGAGGGTGTTGAGCACCACAGTGACAGAGGTACTTATAGTTTTGTCTCAGGAGTTCCAGAGGTAACCGTGGATGATGGTAAGGATCTAGTTTCGAGTAGGAGCACACCACATGCCTCAGCCCGTGATAGCGCCTCAAGTGTCGAGGGTACGCCGGTTTTTGATAACCCACACCAAACAACTGGTGTTGAATACAAGCCAGTGAACGAAGGATTCAGGAGGAATGATGTAGCTGAGGACATGGTGAGTTCTGGCATATCTGTTTTATTTCATTTGTTCAAATCATTTAAACCAACTCTGGATTTCCTATTAAGAGGTTATTTATACTGCTGTTCTACGCACGATTACTAAGTGCAGCCTAAACATGTTATTGCTTATTGATAAAAAGATTTTTAATGCAATTAGTGATATAATGCATTAAGGTCATAAAAGGTACCCAACCTCAAAACGTTTTGATGGCTTGGAGATTATTATACGGATGATAACAGGGGAAAAGGATGAATGGTCAATTAACTGTGTGGGTTCAAGTCATGGTACCATTTGAACCAGTTCAAAACTTGGTGCAGTATTACAAGTAACATTTGATGGTTTCCTCCCATCTGATAACATGAAAAGTTGAAGTTACTAACTGCTAATCTTTTAGCATGAACTGTCAGGTTGGGCAGTCTATAGAACTACGAGAAAGTAAATTTTGCCGTTTTTCTAAGCAGTCACCTGCATAGCATGATTCATGTTGCACCTCTATATTCAAATGACGCTAATACATGATTCACTTATTTCTACCAGGACAACTATACGGAGGAACATTTAAGGGAGCAGCTTGATACACTAAGAACAATAACAGGGTACCGTCCCGCACCATCTTTGACTCTGGAAGCTGAGCTTGTGGGGCTGTATATATTTGTGGGAGTGGAACCTCCTGTCAGCTCAAGGGATGCCTCCGATCTGAATGATCTCAGCACAAAACTCCGGTTCTTGAAATCGATCATAGGCGTGGAGTAAAGATCTAAGCGGGAATTGATTCATCAGGAGTTTTGTGCTTGTGTGTATAAAGCATAAGGTTCAGCAGTCCACGTTCCATCCTGCACATGAGCTTTGTTCGATAGTTGTGAACTAAGTATCCTATTCTATATTCGTGTGTGGAAGACATTAGTGAACGTGCTGTATATGCCTACTTTTCCGTGAAAATTAGCCACTAGTGATGCGAATAAGTGATGGCCATTTGTGACCCGTCACTAAATTTCTCGGCTTTTGTTAGTGTTTCTTTACCGGTTTAATCACAAGTTTTATTAAACGGGCGCACACAAGAACTGTTTCTGAAGCCAAAAATAAGCTGAAAACGATGAAGCCGAAGCCATTTTAGCCAGTGTTGCTAAACCATCATTTAAACCTGATAAATAATCGATTAAACAAGAATGTTGTACCACTATGCAACGTTTAAACGGTGTGTAAATGAGATAAACGACCGTTTAGGCCAATAATGTTTTTAGCTAGATGGTGGGGGGGCAACGGAGCACACACACAAGCTACTAAGGCAAGCAACGGGATGGGAACGGGATAGGAGATATGTTGGATCACCTCTATCTCCTATATTTCTACTTTTTAAGGATAGGGGAGAGGATCGAAAATCTGATGGAGTTGTGCTTCAAAGATCTTACAATAAACATAATCAAGGCAAGCAGCTTGCTTGATTTCAAAAGCACACTGAGCTACGGGTTTTACATACACGCACAATGCCAGAATGGACTGCACAAATACAAACCTCTGATACACCAACGGACTGCATAAATACAGACCTCTAATACACCAACTTACGTTCTGAGGCCGAAAAAGGGCTTAACTTCAAAAAATACATATGACAGGATACAGCAATAGAAAGCTAACTTACGTAATTTACACTCGGATGGGGGCAGAAAACACTTCCTACAATATCTTACAAGGCATTGTCAGACTAGAAGCTAGGTTGTTTGGAAGCAAATATTGTGGGCACTGGCTCGGAAACAGTGTGCTGGTCGCAATTTCAACAAAATTTTGGAATTGCTTCGACCTGGTGTTGATGGGTGCGCACCGGATTATGTCTACAACTGCAGCAGAGGGTCTCAGAAAGAACACATGTAACACCAAGCATCCTGGATGATCCCTACACAAAGTAGTCTTGCCGCACAACAGTGATGAATTCGCATGTAAGGGAGTCATCCTCTCTTTGCTTCCCAACATCGCCGTTCCCTTGGATATGCCAGTATATTTTTGGCGGGAGTGGTGCATACAGGTCTGCGGTAATAAACAGAAAAGATAGTGAGGATAATTTGGACAATATACTTGCCTACCAGGTTCTGCCAAACTGAACAAAGATCTACCTGCTGATACAGTTTGATCAGGTTCTCTAGTAGAATGTAGCACAACAGTACCAGCAAGAACCGTAAGAAATCCACAAATCTCAGAGGCGATGTTGCTTGCTCTCTGCCCAGACCAGTCCTGTATGGTCACCAGAAAAGGTTTACTGCCAAATTAACACAGCGCTACTGATGTTTTGTGTATACTAAAGGTCGTGAAAACTATTCTCACCTTAAACATTATGGCACTTGCTAAGATGGTGAGGGTCGTGAACATGGCATAGTAGATCGGAGAGACAACTGCTGTATTGAAAGTATCCAGTGCCTGAAATTAACACATATAGTAATATCAGTTCATACTTCCTAGTTGAAAAGTAACATCGGTAAATATCTCTTAACAAAAGTACACACACATTGGAATTAAGTACTGAAATGTCACTAATTGAAATTGAGTGCTGCACAATCACTCCAGTGGCACTACAAAAAAACTTAGCCAATGTGGATGTGAATATGGCACCTCTGAGACAATTTCCTTTTACAAAACCTATGGCACGGTTTTTAGATGGCTTTGTGAAAAAAAATTGAAGTGAAACAGGCTTCCTTTTCATGTAACTGATGAGACAAGAAGGGCACCTTATTCAGGTAAACTAATTGAATAACTATACATGTTGTGGAAACCACTGCAAACACCCACATCTGGAAATAGCCGGCCTGATTTATTCCTTCAATTGTTAGCTTAATGGCAATGCCCACAGCCTTTATGCTCATTACCTGATAATACCACAACATCAAACAAAATTCATATTACAAACAAGACAACACAGATGTCAAGATGGGAAGAAAATAAGGCATGTTTTTACCGTCAGGGATCCAACAACTGAACAAATCCCAACATAAACAATTATGTTTGTCTGTCCATAGCGTGGACCACAGTATAGCATGAGGAACAGGGACACTCCCACTGCAATGGCAGCATAGCAAAGGAAGGCTGCCAAAATTACAGGACAATATCAAAACATAAGTCCATTGTGATGGCAACTAGCCAAGCTACGGCAACAGGACATAGAAGCTTACAAGGCTGTGTTGCCAAGTTCCAAATCTGTTCCACGGAACTAGGGGTCCTCTCCTGGGGAGCATGTAGAATGATCATCGTTGAACCAACAATGCAGAGACCACAGCCCAGCACACCCACCCGGCGCAACTTCTCATTCAGTGTGAAATGAGCTAGAACAGCACTGCACGTAACAAAACTCATCAGAAACATACAGACACATTCAGAAATCAGAACAAACCACCTGAGGCATCCGCCACTATACCTCACAATAATACTGAGTGCACCCAGCGGCGTGACGAGGACCGCCGGCGCAAACATGTAAGCAATGAAATTTGCGATCTCCCCAACAAGCACTGAAAAGTTCCATTTCTTTTTATAAAATTTCAGCACAATTTTGGCATAATTAAGAATAAAGGAGGCGAAGGGGAACGTTGATGCTTACTGGTGACCATCCCGACCCACCAGAGTGGCTCCAAGAGATAGCCATACCCTCCGGCACCTGAAATTTTGGACAAAGCAAGGAAGGTTATGTCGTCTGTTACACGAAATCGACCGGAATGGACATAAAGGGGCGGCCTTTGTCGCATTTCGCGGCATGTAGGGTTCGAATTAGCAACCAAGAACCAGAAAGACCTAGAGTCGCGACGAGCAGCACGAGCAAGACAGCAGCAGCTTCGGCAAGCGAGGACGGGGAGAGGAGCAGATACCTGCTCGGGCGCCGGCGGCACCGGCGCGTCGGAGGCCCTTCTTCTTGACGATGAAGCTAACGCCGATGAACGCCGAGGAGGCGACGGCGAGGAGCGAGCCCTTGAGGTTAGCAGCAAAGAGGTCCCCGCCGACGGCGGCTTCCGTCGCGTCGAGGGTCATCGGTGGCGTACGGCGGCGTTACGCGCCTCGCGCATTTGAAGCGACGCCGCCGGAGTCCGGACTCAGGGTTCGATTTGGAATCGAGGTTTCAGTGTTTTGCTTTGACCGGCGATGTGCGCGATGGGGTTTGGAGTTGGACGGCGGAACGAGGAGGGAGAGGAACAGGTGCAGCAGGGGAGGGGCCGGAGAATTTACTACTGGGAATTATTATTCGAATTCCTCATTTCTGAGTTTTCTTGTTCCTGGGTTTGCTTTGCCGTTGCTTGGATTGGAGTACAGTACATGGGATGCGCAGAGACTGCCACGACGAAGTGCCGTATTCGGCTTGGAGTTTGGGACTTGGAGTGAAGGCGACAGAAGACGAGCGCGCAAGTTTGCCCTTAGCTACAGCATTACTGTTCCCCCTGGGTAAGTACAGTGATTACAGTACCTGCTAATCCTGGCCATGTCTAAGTTTACCTGGGAGTCCAAGGCACAGGGGCTACAAAAGGACACGTCACTCGTGAATTAGCGCGTGTTAAATGAGGTGACATCGACCGTCAAGGATAGGTGTCATGCATGATTTTGCCTAATATGAAAGGGAGAGATGAGGATATTGAGAAAGACATTGTCTAGGGAGCAATTGACAAACGGTCTCAGAGTTTTTCATTTTAAAGGTGTTATCTAGTAGCACATGTCATTCAACAGTTAAATGCTACTCTCCTATTTCCAAATTATAAAGTCGTCCTAGCTTTTCTAGATTCACAGGGCCAGTTTAGCATAGCATCTCTTCCTATTTTTGAGCTTTACTTCTTAACTCTTCGATGGAGTGATTCTGGTGGGAGAGCAAGTTGAGGAGCATGTGAGAATTTGATTCTAAAGTTATTCTAGTGGGGATTGAACGGCGAGATGCGGTGAGTGGATTTTTTAGCTCTCAGTTCATAGTGTAAATGAAGAAGTGATTCTCGACAGCCTTCCACCAGAATCTAGTTGTATTTTAAGCGTTTTGTCACTTGGATCATACAATCTACTACTGAAGAAGCTTGGAGCGAAGCGCTGCCACATTAACCCATAATTTTTGTTATGCATAGAAATAACACTATGTCTATACAGGGAGTACATACCTTTTATTATTAAAAGACCAGGATAGTTTATAATTGAAATGGAGAGAGTATTACCTAGATTACTTCCAGGATTTTTTTTTTCCAAAAGGGGGCGAGCCCCATTTCCATTTTCAGCGAAACGGAAATACATAAGAGTTGTTAAGGTAGGAGAGCAGATAGGAGACAGTTCCTAGATCTGAACTCTGTCTCAGAGTCAGAAAGCTACCACCTCTAAGATACGCCCACAGTTTAAGCTAACTGACAGGCTAACGTCATGTTCGCTGATAAGCTATGGCTGAAAATACTATTGGTTGATTTGTTGTGAGAAAAAAATACTGTTTGTTGGCTGAAAAAGGTACGGCCTATAAGCCGAGCGAATATGGTGTAAGAAGAAAGTGACCAGTTATTACAGACCAGAAAATCCCCAGGGCCACATTGGCCAAAAGAGGTCTCCGAAGATAACAGCTAGAGATCAAAGCATTGCATTGCACCCATGCTTTCCGCCCATATTTCCGCACCTCCTTCACTAATTCTGATTGCCACCATCCGGAATCCGGATGATCATCTTGCTTCAGACGCTTGCACTGATCTTCAACAGGATTCTGGGACTTCCAGGAATTTATACAATAATAACTTGTCTATTATTTGTCCGTAACTGATATGAAA